TTTTACCATATCGAGAATGTTTTTGAAAGGTATTTTATTTTTTTAAAGGTATTTTATAGAGCTTCAGAGGACATAAGAGGAGGCCCTATAATTTAAATAAAACTAAGATTCCTAAAACAAAAGCAGAAGGTAGTAGAAGAAAGGAAATACAATTGAAGTACACTATTTGGTCCATCAGTAAACAATATTTATTTATTTTTAAATATTTTATTTATTTGAGAGAGAAAGACAGAGATAACAATAGAGAGCACAAGTTGGGAGAAGAGGGAAAAGCAGGCTCCCAGTTGAGCAGAGAGCCTGATGGGGGGGCTCGATCCCAGGATCCTGAGATCATGACCTGAGCTGAAGGCAGATGCTCAACAGATGGAGCCAGCCAGCTGTCCCTCAATAAACAATATTTAAAAGTTACAATCTTATAAATAAGGTTTGTTTGTGGGGTTTTTTTGCATTCAAACACAACTATTTTTTTTTTTTCGGTCTGTTCTTTTTTTTTTTTTTTCTTTTTTATTTCTTTCCAGTGTTCAGAATTCATTGTTTATGCACCACACCCAGTGCTCCATGCAATACGTGCCCTCCATAATACCCACCACCTGGCTCTCCCAACCTCCCACCCCCTCCCTTCCAAAATCCTCAGTTTGTTTCTCAGGTCTACAGTCTTTCATGGTTCATCTCCCCTTCCGATTTCCCCCAACTCATTTCTCCTCTCCATCTCCCCATGTCCTCCGTGTTAACCCATCTCCATAAGTTTTAACCAAAACTTGTGAGGTATTAGGAAAGTAGAAGGTATTAGGAAAGGGAAATAGATATAAACAGATGTTAAGATCCTCAGCTGCCATTATAAGAAACAAATAGATAAATCTTAAACTGCATAAGAAGAGAGCAATATAAATGTGACATTTAGAAATACTTGATAAATTTTAGAAAAAAATTATAAAGAGTTGAAAGTACTTATCTCTGGGAAATAGTACAGGGTGAATATAGAACCAGTAATTTTATTGCAAGACTTTTAGTGTTATTTAACTTTTAATACTATGTGCTTATATTACTTTTAATACATTTAAATGTTAATTTTAAAAAGTTGACTTATCCAAAAGGCCAAAGAAAGTTTCAAGCCCCTTTTTATTTTTTTCATATCATGCTGACTTTTCTGTCTTTTATCCTATATATTTGTTTTTAGATAGAAAGAACTGAATAGGGTGAAGAAAAACCATTTGAAACCAACCTTTTGAAAGTCCACAAATTTATTGAAAACCACTTATTTTTATGTTAATTTGCATATGGTAAATGCACAGTAAGTGTCTGAGTTAATTCTTAAAGTTATCAACAAGTTTCAGAGGAATAACCTTTTGGAGTCTTTTTGTATTAACACTTAAGTCTATTACTAGAGATTACAAAGACTCCATGTGAAACTTTCTGATTTTAATACTCTTTGTCTCTCATTTTACATGAAAACTTAATGAATAGAATTATACCTCAAGCTTACATTTAGAGCATGTTGTTTTTCCTAAAACAAAACAAAACAAAACAAAACAAAAACAAAAACAAAAAAAAACACAAACCAATCCCCTGTGCAAGTACTGAGTGGTAATAATTGATTAAAAAAATCTATTTAAATGCACAAATGGATTTGCTCTTCTATACGACAAGAATCAGAGGAAGCCTGTAACGCTCCTCAACTCTTGCTTCTGCTTAATAACATGTCCAAACCCACTTTCAGCAACAGAGAATTAGTGCTACCCAAACTAGAAAGCATTTTGAAGGGCAACAACAAAGTATTTATGTTAATTGTAATTAGCTATGCCTCTTTGGAGAATGTAGACAACTTGAAGATTATATAAAAGCTTCTATTTTGTGGAAAGATCTAACAGAGCACTCACATTATAACCTCCTGTTACGCTATTATCTTTCTACATGAGCATGTGTTGCAAATAGTGTTAGTCTGTTATCTTCTAGTGCTGATTAATATTTTTATTAGATCAATGTTTGTACTTCCATTTCTGGACTTAAATCAATTGATTGGATTATTTACTAACAATGAAACATCATTTTATTAGTGATCCTGACTAGATATATCTTATATTCCCTTGTAAGACCCACAACACTTAACACAATTCTAAACATATATAGCAGGCAATTAAATGTGTTATTCAGGTGAATAGAATATCTAAAGTTGTAGGGTTTTTTTTTCCATATTGGTAGACTTATGTAGATTAAATGAACCAGAGACTTAAAAGGGATGAAAATGCTTTCTGTGTAGGGGAAATTTGTCATTACTACAGTAATGTAGTGTATACATTTTAAAAATTTTTTTAATGAGAAAGGAAAATTTATTCCAAATTTATTCCAAACATAAAGGACACAAAAGCAGTTGTAACAGAATATTTTGTTTAATTATCTGGTAATAAATGAGAAAACTTGGATAAAATAAAGTTTTCCTAGGAAAAGATAAGTTACCAGTATTAACAGAAATACAGATTTAAAAAAAAGAAGTGTTAGTATTGGGGCGCCTGAGTGGCTCAGTCAGTTGGGCATCTGCCTTTGGCCCAGATCATGATCAAGGATCCTGGGATCAGGTCCCACATCGGGCTCCCTGCTCAGCAGGGAGCCTGCTTCTCCCTCTCCCTCTGCCTGCTACTCTGCCTGCTCTGCTCTCTCTCTGTCAAATAAAAAGAATCTTAAAAAAAAAAAAAAGAGTATTAGTATTTGGCTGGCCAGACAGATAGACAGACAGAAATCTGGCCTGTCAAATATTTTATATATATTCACAAAGGTCTTTGAATACTATGAAGTTTATAACCAGGAGACAAATTACTGAATGATTAAGTAATCACATCTTCAGCTCTAATACATTTGGCCATATTTTTTTCCACAACGATTATATATACTCCCACTAGCAATGTCCATGCAATTTTTAACTAATTTATATTTTATGTACATTGTAAATTGCCTGATGTACTTAGGATATAAAGATGATTAAGATAAGGTTTTTTGCTCCCTGGGAGGGGAGTCTAGAGTTGGGTAGCAAACATGGAGATAATACAGAGGAACGTATCAGCTAGCCAGCTGATGCTGCTTGGTAACAGGGAAGTGGTTTCTCCTTATAGTGCCATAAGAGACGTTCCAGAATACCAGTTTTGGTGCCTTTCTTTGGCCACCCATGTGGTGAACTTTTAAACTGGCTTGAAAGTTCTCCTCAAATTTGATGCTTCTGAAATCTAGAATGACATTTGTTATTGTCAAAAGGGATGTTTTATACTGAAATTAGCTGTAAACTCTTATATATAGTTATAATTGAACATTTATGTTTAAGATTGGTAGTTCATTTTTAAGAGTTAATCAGTAAATCTGCTTGAGAAGAATGACTTAATGCAGCCCCTAAAAGTAAAATAAAACAATGGAAATCATTTTAGGCCAATAACCTTCCCAGTAGGATATGGGTCAGTAAGCTGTAGAAAACTTGATTTTTTTTGAAAGCTTGATTTTTTAAAAGCTTTTTTGTATATGATGGATATTTTTGTATGTATACATTCTGTGTGATGATTTCCTGAGTTGGTGGAGGCCTATTTTATTATATTTAATATATATCCTGGGAACAAATAGTCCCATGAATGAACATTAACAGTCAATAATAATTAACTAATATAGCTAAAAATACACATGAGTATTTAATAATTAGCAAATACAACTAGTAAGATACATTTAAATTAATATTTAATTGTATTCAGTTTTCCAAATACACACATTTAACCCTAAATAAAATTAAGGAGGGAATGTGATGTGATGAGCACTGGGTGTTATATGCAACTAGTAATCATTAAACCCTATCATGAAAACTAATGATGTACTATGTGTTGGCTAATTGAATTTAAATTTAAAAAATTGTTTACCCATTTTTCTACTGATGGACATTTATGTTATTTTTACTTTGGGGCTTTTACAAATAAAACTATTGTGAAAATTGAGTACAAGAAAAAAAAGAAATGAAACCATTCTACTCAGCAGCCATCCTTCCTACCCGTGTGATGTAGACTAGCTCACCAAATAAGTGCTGTTTCACACTTCTGAGGCCCAAAAGGAGCAGATAGAAACTCTCATTGTTGAGTTTACCAAGACCAGGGACTGCACTGTTGTGAACCCACAATTCTTCTTGGCCAGGGTTTCCTCCTAAATATGACTGACTTTTCTATAATAACTACTTATAAAGAAGAATACCAATAACAATAAAATAAGAATGATCAGCCACTTAAAATATGAGAGGTTCCATGGCAGGTTAATCTGCACAAAACCCTGTGAGGTTAAATTCAGTACAAAATGTTATCCTTACTTTATAGATGAGCAAACACAAAGGTGAGTCAAGATTTAAAACCAAGTGTCCTGACTTCTGCACTTAGGTCCCTAACTAATGTATCATGCTGCTTCCCATTAAGTAATTTAAGCCTCACAATAACTTCTGAGGAAGACAATAAAAGCTTTATGTCAGTTTTATAGCTGAGGAAACTGTCTTTTGCAGAGACTAAGCAGTTCATCTGATTTCACGACTCATTTGCATATAGCTAGGATTGGAATCTGCTTCTTCTAACATCAGCCAGCAGCAAAGGAACAGCATGTTTGGGTTTCAAGACTATACCTCCTCCAGTGTAGAGAGCCTAAAGAAGCTGGATCTCAAGGCTCGGGATGTGGTAGAGGGTGTGGAGAGGACAGCGACAAAGCACAGATCCAGAGGGAGCACCTGTGACTTGGCTGGGGCTTTGAGCTGGTGAGGCTTGAGTTACAATCCAGACTTGGCCACCTTCTTGCTGTATGAGCTTCAGCACATCACTTCCTTACACCCCACTTTAGTTGCTTTCATCAAATACAAATAGCATTGTTCTAAAAATGTTATCAGACTTAAGTGAGAACATATATATGAAAGACTGCAGAATGCCTTGCATATAGAAGGTGCTTCATAAAAATTAGTTTCCTTCCCAGGTGAGTGAATTTTTCTTTCTTTCTTTCCACAGCACTTATCTAGCCGGCAGAGTGTCCAGCAAAGCACATCCCAGGTAAGCAGCTTAGCTAGGCCTCCGAGTCTTTTCCCTCGGCACTTGAAGTGGTCACAGCATGGGGATGCCAACAGGCAGTGATAACCACCACGGACATCTTGATTGTGTGATGCCTTTCATCTAAATAACCCTGACCTCCAAGCACATTTGGCCAGTCTCCTCTCACTCCTCTGTGCAAATTTACATAAGCACAATTGAAATAACATAGACTGGGAGACTGAAATGAATCCGTCTGGGAGAAAGTAAAAGTGTCATTTAGAATGGTATCTGTTACCATCTAACACTGTAAATCAAGTGCATCAGGACGACGTCTCCAAGTAAAAACTTTGAATTTAAAAGTTCATGGAGAATTTAGAAGTTTGTGACCTGATGAAGATATTAAGTTCACTCGTAAGTTGGAATTACCGTTCCCATAGCTCCTTCACTCAGTTTACTTCTCCCAGCTACATATTTGCCTGTCTCAAACCACACATATTGACACAACACTCCCCTACTAGCAGAGAAGACACCTTCTGTCTCTCTTACATGATCCCCTTTGATAGTAGAAGGAGAGTTAGTCATTTAGTTTTCATTTTATTTCTGATCAGTGTAGTGAGTAACTACAATATTTACTGGTTTTTTTTTTTTTTTTGCCTTTCTCTTTAGGTAGATACAATGCGCCCACGTCATGGGGAAACCTGTCGGATGCCGGTGCCACACCACTTCTTCCTCAGCCTGAAGAGTTTCACCTACAATACTATTGGTGAAGACACCGATGTCTTCTTTTCCTTATATGATATGAGAGAAGGCAAGCAGATCAGGTAAAAGTTACTAGTTGTGGTGAGGTGGAGATTGTGGAAGGATGATATTACCTGGGTCATAAGCATCTCTGGCCTTCAGGGAAGATAGATGCACAGAGAAGGAAAAACAAGATAAAGTAACTTCTTACCTATCTGGGAGTTTTGCCTCAAATCCCAGTGTACCTTGAAGTCACATACGGCCTCTTTTTTATGCCTATTTCCACATGGAAGTTTGAATTCCAGTCTTGGCTGTCACCACCTCAGGGAAAGAAAAGGATGCATCTATTCAGTGCCAGAGAAAATGCATAGGAGAAACACAGAACAAAGCAAATTCAGCAGAGAGGTCCTGCTCTATAATGCAGGAAGATCTGGGCCCTGCCTTGTTGCATGTGAAGGAGAGGGTTCACAGGGAAATAGGCTAATGATGTCCTCCTGTCTGAGAGCAGTCTTAGCCCTCAGTGCCTTTCCAGCCCTACAAAAGGGAGAGCTTCTTCTGGACAGAAAGGAAGGTCGGTCTGACTCCTTCATTCCTGTTTGTCCTGGGTTGGAAGAGAGGCCAAAAGAATGGGGCTCAGAGGTAGTAGACCATGTATCTTGGCAGAGCAATGAGGCCTTTAAACATGAACAACTGCGGGGTGGGGAGCAGTCAAGGAGACACTCTGGGCTTCACTTTCTCTACAGGCCAGCAGAGCTCTGATGGGGTGAGATGATAGTGGTAGCCAATTTTAGGGAGTCCAGAGAGTTCTCTGGTTGTCTTCTACTTGGGGCAGAGAGAAAATAAATTTGGGATACTTTTATATTGCCTGGAAGCTTCCTTTATTCAGAGTGCTTTACGGGTCTTTTATTTATTTATTTATTTTTACTTAAAATTTGAAAACAGCTGTTCCATTTTTCCAGTTGCATGGTATACATAGGAAAATTAAAAATGGAAGTTATAACAGTACAAAAGAAAAGGAGTTAATTTGCATGCTCCACAGTACCTCTAATCCTGACCACATAGCCCTGAAAATTAAAGCAACTTGCTTCACTTTGGTGTAGAGCTAAAATGATACCCTCACTGTTGGGGTCATGTGGGTTTTCCTTGTCACTGACGTCTCCCAGTCTGTGGGCCTAGAAAGACTGTGGGAAAAGACAGCTGTGGTAGGGATGCTAGCTACAGGTGCTGGGCTGTGCGGATGCAGATTCTGGCTGCGATTTTTCCACTAGGCCCAAGGTTCATAAACTTTATTACTTACCTTTGTATGTGGAAGAATCCTTTCTAAAAGCTGAATTTTTTGAGACAGTTCAGTAAGTGAAACAGATAAAATAGAGGTACTTTACTGTTGGAGAGAAAGGGGAAATAATGGGAATCTCACTATGTCCCTTCCCCCACCCAGTACTGGGTGTAACCACTGAAAGTCCCTGGGTTGTAATATGAAAACCGGAGCACCCTTCTTTATCATCTTTGAGTGCTAGTGACTGTGTCTTCTCTTTCCATGATCCCAGCACCTCGCACAGTGCCTGTGCCCAGTACATGCTTTGTCAGGCTTATTGTACAGAGAAGATCCACGCCCAGCAGAAACACCTCTGCTCTGGTTTGTAATCCATGCAGGATCATCAGTGCATCAGTTGTTTTTTTACTTGGGCTTCTTGTGTATAATTGAGCCTCAAGAAACAATAAAACATTTTTAAAAGAAGAAACATAAAAAAGATTTTTTTCCTAGAGTTGCTGGAAATGTTTTGGTCATTTAAAAATCCCTAGATATTAGAGAACTATACCAGCTTCCCATTCATATAATAAACTTGTAGGGTCCTTAATTGAAAATACCATTTCTTTCTTTAGTTTTAAGAGTGGACTAATACGCAGAATTTTAGATCTAGGCTTAATTGATAAGTGTTCCTTTTTCTTTCCATTAGCATTTGTGTAGTTTTATAAGCCCCCCCCAAATTTTAGCTCATTGAACTGATGATACCAACTATGTTTTCCTAATGATTAGGTATTAAACTGGTGATACATTACTGCCTTGAAGTAGTTACCAGAAATCATGAGAGGTTAGGGATGTATTACATCCCTAACCGACTGTTGATACAGAGACTGTTGACACAGAGCAATCACTGTATCAACCAAACAGTGCTAGTCTGGTGTTCAGTATTGCCAGGACGCTCTCACCTCCGTGCCTGAGAACATGCGTGAGTAGAGGGAGCAGGCTAAAGAGAGGACCAGATGTTCCCGCACTCTGAGTCTCATTGCTAATCCCACAGGCAAACCTAGAGAGGCTCCAGTGAATGACAGCCTGCAAACCCACATAGCACAACCTGATGAGTAAGTATTAAACAATCTGCGTGAAGGAAGAAGCAGCAGCTGAGAGGGCCCTGGTAGCTGTAACTTTCTGTGACATTTTATCATTCTGTACAGAGTCATAAATATTTAGCCTTGAAATCTAAATCTCTGATTAAGACCTCTCCCCTGAGCTTCAGAGTCTCATTTCCTTTTTCCTACCAGACATGTGCCCTTGGATGTCCCTCAGACGTTTCTACCTCAGTATATCTAAACTCATTTCATTTTCTTTCCTCACAAATATACTTCCTTCTGTGCTCCTTAAATCAAGTGAAAGGCATTATCATTTACCCAGAGATCCATGTCATAGACTTCAATGTCCTCTTAGCCTCCTCTCTCTCTATCTCCTTCCCTTTTCAATTAATCACTCTATCTTACTAACTTCTGTCTCCCAAATATCAGTCAGTTCACTCTCCCTAGCACTCCTGTCATCACCCCAGATCCTTCACACTTCTCCCCAAATACAGACTCCCTGAATCTACTACCTTCCTACCCTGAGTTACTTTCCATAGCACCACCATACTTACCTTTTAAAAATGCAAACTTTTCACATCATCTCCCACTTAACCTAAAGCCCTTGTAACTCAGTGTGACATAAAAGGCCCAGGATGATATAATTCTATTTCTCGAGCTTTATTTCCTGCATCTTGATGAGGCAGTTGTCTTTACTTAAACATGCCTTGCTCTTTCATGCCCCATTACCCTTGCTGGCTTGGTAAACTCCTGTCCATTGAAACTCAACTATATGAAACCTTCCTTAGTATTCATGAGTATAATCAGGCCCTGAGACTTCATTGTGCCCATGATAACACCCTGCACCTAGCTTTAGTCCATTATTAGATATTAAATTGTAATCATACACATGCATGTAGATTTCCCCCACTGGAATTGGAGCTTTCTTGTGTGTCTTTGTACCATCACTCCCCACCTCCCACCGCCAGTGCTAAGCACAGAACTTTGGATATTGGAGCATTAAATAAGTATTTATTGAGTGAATGAATGAAGAAGTGGTCAAATAACCAGTCCTGTGTGAATCAAGAAAATTTTATTTAACTGAGCAGGTTAGCAAGTACTTACTAAGAATTTCTTGTTTGTGGGCCCCTGTAATAACTGCTTGGGATTTAGAAGTTAAAAAGACTGTCCCTCACCCTGAGGAGGTCTGAACAAGGCATTACAGGATTTCTAGAAGGTATGAAACATGTTTTCCTGATTTTTAAGAACCCCAGTTAAGTGGAAAAATAAGATTAGGGCATATGTCTTACCGACATGCAGCAACACTTTAAGCACAATAAGCAGTCAGGAAAAAACAAACAAAAAATATAACCCTTTAGACAGAAACTTTTTATTAACATATAATGTATTATTTGCTTTAGGAGTACAGGTCTGTGAATCATCAGTCTTACACATTCTGCAGCACTCATTATAACACATACCCTCCCCAATGTCCATCACCCAGCCACCCTATCCCTCTCCGCCCCACACCCCAATAACCCTCAGTTTGTTTCCTGAGAATAAGAGTCTCTTATGGTTTGTCTCCCTCCCTGTCACTTCTTGTCTCATTTTTTCCCTCCCTACCCCCAATGACCCCCTTCCCTACCTCTCAAATTCCTCATATCAGAGAGATCATATAATTGTCTTTCTCTGATTGACTTATTTCGCTTAGCCTAATACCCTCTAGTTCCATCCACGTCATTGCAAATGACAAGATTTTGGGGTTTTGATGGCTGTATAGTATTCCATTGTGTGTGTGTGTGTGTGTGTGTGTGTGTGTGTGTGTGTGTAAAGAAGATGTGGTATATATACCACATCTTCTTTATCCATTCATCTGTTGATGGACATCTAGGTTCTTTCCATACTTTGGCTATTGTGGTTAGACAGAAACTTTTATGGAGTTTTTTTAAGCTTAAAAAAAATGAGCAGTCTTGTCTACATCATTGGTTGTTTTATATTTTTTCCTAATCAATTACATTTTAGATCTTGCTTTATATTTAGGATTAAACTATATAGTTTGGGAAAGAAATATAGTCAGCTTTACCATGTAATAAACTGAGAGAGATGACTTTTTCTGTTATGGTGAGCTAGATCAGTTGTCACCGAGGTTGTGAATTTAATACTCAAAGAACTATTTTTTAAAAAGAAAAAAGAAGTCAGAGAAGAAGAGTATCTTTGAAAGACTGAGGAGCCAGGCTCTTGGAAAAAGGACTCTGGGAGAAAATGAAAGTAATTGAATTAAAGAGTGTCCAGGATTCAGATAAGGTACTAATTCATTTGTTCAACAGATATTTATTAAGCAACTACTAGCTATTGGGATAGAACCTAGGGATACTGAGGTGAGCAAAAGAAATATCTGCTTGTCTTCTTGGAGCTTATGATCTAGAAAAGAGACCATCTCTTTCTATTGGAGAAATCACCAAACACGTGATTGCATGAATACGTATGTAGTTAAAAAGCATGATAAGTGCTGTAAAGGGACATCATGCAGAGTGCTCTGAAAGCTCATGTAGACTGGAATGAGGGGAGGCTCTTAGGGCATCCATGTTGAGGCTTAAAGTATGTGTAAACAGAAAGAGTGGATAATGTGATCTAGGCAGAAGGCCTAGATGCAGGGAAAAACTTGGTATATTCAGAAAACTGAATGGCAGTCAGTGTAGCTGGAATGTTTCGAGAGAAGGAAAGAAAATCTCAAGAGGGGATTGAAGAGATA